AACGTTAGGAAACAGAACTTCAAGAACACAGCCACACAGCCCGGAAGACCCACACCAGCCAGAAAGAGTATTGATACTTTTGAACATTAGTGCTGGAGAAAACTCTTGACGATACCAGAGCTAGTCAGGCACACAGAAAAATGGATCATGTAATAAACAAATCCAGAGTTCTCACTTGAAAACAAATGACCAGGCTCAAATTATCATACTCTGGACACATTAGGCAAAGACCCCTTGAGAAATCTATAATTCTGGGAAAGGCGAAAGGAAAGAGGATGACTAACAGTGAGATGGGTGGACTCATTTATAGCAGTGATGGGTATACTGTTGGGAGAACTGAGGAGTCAGGTTGGGAACAGATCATCCTGGAGAAAGTTTATCTGTGTGGTCTCTAAGAGAGGACACCAACTTGATGGCACATGCAAACACATCTGATGTACCTATTGGAACATCCATCAGAAGGTGGACTCAGAAAATGCCTTGATACACACCTTGTATACACCTTGCCTGGAGCTTATTCCATGATCATATATTCCCCACTGTATGAATAACTAAAATGCATTTAGTTACTGCATAAAGACACATGATGGCTAAAAGTATCAGAAATATGAGGTCCAATAGGTATGGCAGTGAGGCTCACTGGTGAGTTCACACCCTTAAAATTCTGTTTTGAAGTCCTCCAGAAGAGGAAGACTTCAGTACAGCTTTTTTTCCTTCATTTTGGATCAGGAACAAAGATTATACAATTTCTGGTGGAGTAGTCTTGGCATTTTGGGGGGATGTTAATTTCCAGTAAGGTGGGTGAGAATTACAGGGTTGTCTTCAGTGTAACAATAGCAAACTTTAAACCACTGCTCCAAGCAAAAACTCACTTTTTGTGAGAATCCAGTTGCCAGTGGTGTCCATGGGGGGAATCCAAGGGGAGAAAATGATGAAGGCAGCACTGAGTGACAGAACACAACCTCTGTTCCTTTTATATATGTGCTAAGATGTCATATATGTGTATGAAAGCAGTGGAACTTGTATCATGTTGGTATGATGGCTCTTTTCATCACTAATGGAAGCAGTGGATCCTGGAGACATCTATTCCACCTTCCATTCCTTAAAATTCTGACTCAAAATGCCCCCACATATTAACTGTAAACCACTTTGAGTTTTCTTTTAATGGGAAGCAGTATAAAGATGTTTTAAAAAAATAAACAAAATTAAACATTATGTGAACAAACTCCCTATGAAAAAGCTACCTTTCCCACACCTGCTTTCATAAGATAGAAAGAAAAAAAAACACCAGCCATGTTGATGAATGACAGTAATTGCTTCCCAAAAAGCAGTAGTACGGTACAGTAACACAAAGAAGAAAATCCTCCCTAATTTCTAAAAAAAATAAAATGAAAAGATCATCTGCCAGGATTTGGTACATGGCTGTGTTCTGTTTGGTGCTCAAATTTTAAAAATAGATTTCGACAAGGAAAAGTGAATGTCAGTAAAACAACTTCAAAAGATAAAGAACTTGACATAAAAGTCATTGAAAAACTTACAGGATTTCCTTGTCTTCCTTCTGGTCCTGGAGAACCCTGTTGTCCAACTTCTCCCTTAATGATGACACACAAAAATCATGAAAATATTAAGTTTTCAGTACCAGACTGGGAACTGTAACAGATTAACTTAATTCAACCAATATATGAGAAATATCTAAATTCTGCCAGTAAAATACATGAAGCCAAATCTTGCTGCTACACAGGATGCCCTCTTCATTGCTGCAACCTGTTTTTTAATTCTTCTTTTATTTAGGTTACAGACCTTGCCAATGATCCAAAGGCTATATTCAGACCTGGTCCCCTAGGAAATATATTTCTAGCACACACCAAGAGTTCGTCCACATTCTGATTTAGCAGAACATGAAAGATGTGCTAGTGTGTGCTGCTCTATTGCTTTCTGCCTCCAGAGGGCACAACTAACAAAATATGGACAGCTTTCTAAAAGAGTCAGGGGGTAGTTGATTTGGCTGCAGTTAGCAGCTAACAATGACCCAGTGATGCGGAACTTGCCGATTTACAGCTCATATTATCTATACCAACAGTGATTGGAATAAGTATTGAATTACGCTGGAAAGCATTAGGAACACATAAATAAGATTAGTCCAGGAAAATATGGAAATTAGCCTGGTTATTTTGTCAGAGAATTCAGGGGATAGACTTTTTTTTCCATTCAATTGTGTCCAGTTCTCAGAGACTGCCTGCACAAATCCCTGCAGTTTTCTTGGCAAGGTTTTTCAGAAGTGATTTGCCACTGCTTCCTTCCTAGGGCTGAGAGAAAGTAGTTACCCAGCTGGCCCAAAGGGTACCAGCTGGCTGGTTTTTTTGTCAGATAATTCAGAGGACAGTACATTAATACAATTTTTCCCCAATGCTATAGTTCTGAAGTCCTCAATATACAGTGGGGCAAAAAAGTATTTAGTCAGCCACCAATTGTGCAAGTTCTCCCACTTAAAAAGATGAGAGAGGC